CTTTGAAGGAGCCCAGTTTGCTGTGGATTTCGGTTTATTTTTTCTTCCTCAGTACCTTAGGGGCAATTAAGATTGGCTGCAACATTTCTGCTTTCTGCTTCCAGATTTGAACCCAAAGGAAGCCAGATGTTTTCCACTCAACATCCTCTTCCCTTAGTGGTCTGATGAAAAGCCCTGTTTTCTAAGTCTCTCTAGAGCCTGATTTCCCAGATCCTAGAGCCAGGCTGCCACCTTTATTTTTAATGGGGTTGTAATAAGCGGCTCCTGTAATTAATTTCATTCTTGTGTTTTCACACTTTCTGTCTAGATGCCTAAAGGCCCCCAGGCGCTAGTTGGGACGTTAACTGATTTTAAATAATACAAAATACTACGGCCATCATTAGCCATTTCCCTGGCTGCTCTCATTTGCAGTTGTTTTACAATCACTAATTAGTGGGAGGTTGGCCACCTGTCATGTTTAATAGACGTAGAAACAGATATGGAGACAAGGCACTTGTCCAATCCCCAATACAGTGGGTGTTGAAACTGATTTCAGAAGCCACATCCTGCTGGGTACACACCCTGTGAGCACCAAGCGGAGATCCACTATTCAGGTGTGATTTGCCACACTCGGCTGGAGTCCTCAGGTCAAAGGTGGATGCCCCAGGGGGACAGGGGCACCCCTGTCCCATAGGCATCTTACGCAGGCAGTTTCACCCTTCCAACTAGGACCACGAAGCAAGTCAGCCCTCAGCAACTAATACGACCACCTAAAATTACCCCTACCCATTCTCTTCTGGCCCCTATGCATTTTATGAGCGGATTCATATGCATAAAGAACGCGTCAGTGATTCCTCCCTGATTTAGAAACAACATAATTTTACTATTTTTAAAGCTGCCTGTTAAAAATCCGCGCACAAGGACTCACACTCCTTAGGGAGCCGGCGGGTGGGAGGTGGGAAGGAATAGTACGTGCTGGAGAGAGAACATCGTGACCTCTTGGACTTCCCAGAGCGAGGCCGCCCCCCTGGGGGCGCACTCTCCCGGGCGCGCAGGGGGCTGTCCAACCCGGAGCCAATCTGCGCCGCCCGGGACCCTCTGAGCGCCCCCAGGCGTCCGACTCAGCCGGTTCGTGTCCCTTCTCGCCTCGCCCCGCGGAAGGCATGGCCGCTGTGCCACCCGGCCCGGGAGGGAGCTGGAGGGGGCGGGGAGGCCGAGCAGGTGGCGATTAGGTCAACTTCGGAACATTCTTGGACCGCTCCAGTGGATATAAATAACTCCGAAAAATCCCAGGAGGGGGTAGAGGAGGTGAGGAAGAAGTGATTTATTTAGGGTGGGGTAGTATCGTAGTGATCTGGAAAAATCCGCCAAGCCTGGTGACTGACAAAGGGGGTGGAGGGGCGACAGGATTTAAGAATGGATCAGGGTACAAATTCTGGGAATAAAAGCAGGGAGGAGGAGGAGCTCACGCCCTTTTGCCCCACCCCCACTGCGTGTGTGTCCCAGGCCTCAGGATAAGCCCCAGATTGGCAGGGAGGGCTGTGCACTGCAAGGGCACGGCTTTGGAGTCACAGCCCTGTCCCAGTGGAGATCTTGGGCAAGCTGCTCAAGGCCTCTGAACCTCAGTTTCCGCATCTGTACAATGGGAATCCTGATGCTTACAAGGTGGTGGTTGTGAGCCTCGCACGAGCTAACGACTAAGAAGGCTGTGCTCAGCAAAAGATGCAAGGCAGAATCTCCTCCAAACCCCGGGGTTCAAGGGGTGCCTATGCATGCCCAGTTCCTCCCATTGCCCACCAGGCTCCCATGATCTGCAAAGGCCGGGGAGGGGCAAAGCCGAAATCTGACTCTCGCAGCCTCGCGGCGCCACCTTGGGGAGTCGGTCCTGGCGCTCAGCACGTGGGAGCCGAGCCCGCGTACCCGCGCCCCCGGAGCCGCCGGCCGCAGAGATGCCTGCAGTCCCAGTACCCCAGCCGCGGGCCCGCGGGGTGGGGGCCGCGGCGGCGAAGAGAGGGCGGGGCCGGGGGCGGGCCTCCCGGGGGAGGGCCCGGCGCGCTCCGGGAGGCTGCAGCCCCGGCCTGGGAGCGGCAAGACACCGGCCGGAGCGTGGTCGGACCCCCACCCACCCAAAGCACCCCGGGAAGACGCGGTGAGTGCAGCCTGGGCGGGAGACGCGCGGGCGGCAGCGGCGGGAACCGCGGCCCGCGCTGCTCTCTCCTCCGGCCCCTGAAGTTGGCAGTGGGACCGATTCCCGGCGGGGAGCCCCCGGCCACCGGCTCTGAGCGGGGACGGGAAGGGCTGCCAACGAGTGAAGGGCGTCTCGTCCGCGGCGCAGCGAATCCCACAGCTCCCCAACCCTGCTGGGGAGGGGGCGTCGGGGCTGGAGGGCCAAACACGGGGGTTGGGGCCATCTCCTGGGGCCCCAGAAGGGGCCTTGTTCCCCGGCGCCCCCCGCCCCCCGCCAGGAGCTTCAGTTCTCGGGCCGCGTAGCGGGCCACCATCTGGAGTCCACTGCGGAGCCAACCCAGACAAGGGGCGCCCCCTCCCCTAGCGGTGACCGGCCGGCCCCACCCCCGCCGAGACCAAGTTCAACAAGTTTGGCTGAGAAGCCCAGAGCCTGCATGGCGAGGCCTGGCCCGTTCGCCCCGCGTGGGTTCCTTCGGCTACGAGTTGCGCTGCGCTAGGCCGGCGGGGAGGGGCTGGTCAAGGGGCGCCTCCACACAGGGCTGAGGCAGGGAACTGGGCAGCCCTTGGCCTCGAGGTTTGGAGTGGAGGCCTCGGGTTTGCAGTGCGTCATCAGCGAGCAGACACCTCGGCTGGCAGGTTGGGTTTCCTAAAATGCCGCTTTGTTTTGCCCCTCCCTGGCCCTGCCTCCTCCCCTTTGCCCATGCCACCCCCTCCCCCAGCCTCGCTGGCCGTTCTGTCGGCTTGTCCTAGTCCCTCTAGCATAAGTGCCCCTCTCAGTGTTCACAGACCGCCCCCTCCTTGTGCCCTCAAATTCCACGGTTATGGGCTGATTGGGAAGGGCTGCAGAGGGAAGAGGCCCTTAGGCGCCACAGCCTGTGACTCAGGACAGAGGGATGGGCAGGCAGGATGGCGGTGCTTCCTCCCAGGAGCATGCCCCCAGTTTCTGGGAAGGGGAAGGGGCTCTCTGGGTGAGGGTACCTTACGGCCTCAGGTAGAGAGGGTAGGTTCTTCCCTGAGCCCCGGGATTTCCTACCTTAGCCCAGGCAGCTGTGAGGAGACCCCATCAAGCCCCCAAGACGTCTCCAGCCCAGCAGGTGCTGGCTCCCCAGACTGGGAAAACTGCCCTTCTCTGCTTTCTGAGCTCTTGCCTGTGGTAGAGGGTGTTCTGGGAAACCATTTGGGTCCCTGCTGAGTTCAGGAGGCACAGGGTGCTAACCCTCCGCAACGGAGGGGGGTGGCCAAGGCACAGGGGCCATCCCCATTGCTCAATCAGGTGGGGGCTGTGAGACCTGGCTGTGCCTGGGGCTGGTGTTTGCTCTGGGAGGCCTGAGGGAGCAGTGCCAGCCAGCCCGGCACACACAGCTCGCTCTGTTCTGGGGCCGGAGAGAGGGAATGGGTGGGGGACAGCTCTCCGGGGAGCAGGGAGTCTGAAGCAGGCAGGGGCCCCAGTCCCTCAATGCCCTCCTGGGACAGCTCTGAAGGCTCTGTGATTAAGGCTGCAGCTTTGGTTTTCACCAGCTTGTTGACAAGTCCTTCTGGGCAAGTGGGACCAACACAAGAGGAAGTCAGGTGGAGAGCTGGGGACCCTCCTCACCCTGTGCCCAGGGCCCCTCTGCTCCCTGCAGTCTCCACTGGGGCTCCAGGGAGGCCTCCCTCCTGCCAGCAGAAGGGCGGAAGCCCACTCGGGCCAAGCCCCTTCACAGCTGCTCCAGCCAGCCAGCAGGTTTTTTTGCTCTTCAGGTGAACTTCATTTGTTCAGATGGATTTCATTCATTTAACTGACAATTACAGATCCCAGCACCTGGGAAAACCCAAATCAGACCCTGAGGAAGTCTCTTTCAATGACTGGGGACAGGCCCTGTCCCGTGAGTCATAACCCAGTGGGGTATATACCCTGACAGAGCAGTTACCAGGGGCTGTGGGAGCCCAGAGGATGGAGGGACAGAGGGACCGACTGTGGGGAAGGTGCCTCAATTTGAGTTTTGAAGAATAAATAGGGGTTCTTCAGTTTGGAGGGGGGCACTGTGACAGAGCTCTGCTTTGGGGCTTGGCTGTGTCCCCTGGGCCTTGGGCTTGCTCAGAAAAGGAAGGATTTCCTTTTAGGGGCTGCGAGTTGTCCTGGGGACAGCTGAGACCCTGCCGAGAGGCAGGAGGGAAGTAGCCATCTGCCTCTGTGTCTTCTAGGCCCTGGGTGGTAGCTTGGCCACTGGAATTTGCCTTGCCCTTCTCTGCAGTTTCTGGAGAACACTGTTACAATTGGCTGATCACCTGTCTGCCTCCCCCATCCCACCTCAGACTATGGGCTTTGGGGCCCAAAACTGAGCTGCTTGTGGCTTGTCACCCCCAGAGCCCTGTGGGACCTCAGTGGATGTTGTGGAATTGGAGGAGTGTCTCCCAGTGCTTGTCTAGCCCTTGATGTTTCTCGTTCATCGCCTGGTTTGAGGCTTATGCCAACCCTGGAAGGGAAGCTACCCAGGTGGGGGAATTCCATCTAGGAGGGAGCTGGGACTGGAAAATTCACTTGTCTAAGCTTCCTGGCCAAGGCAGGACCCAGACTTCCCAGCTCCCATCTCTTCTTCCAGTACAGGGAGCTGCTGTGTGGGTCTGGGCACCTCAGCCTTGGCCTTGTCATTCAAGGAGAGGAAACAGGCCTAAGCCTGGGCAGGAGGCCTCTTCTCCCATCTGCAGTCTAGGGAGTGGGGACCTCTGTTCACCTCCACCCCCACCTGCCACCTAATCCCTGTCAGGATCGTGTGACCCGCCTGGCATTCTCCTGGCTGGAATCTGGCGCTTCTGACAGCAGCTGCTATATCGGGGGAGTCGGGCACCGCCCTGGACATCCAAGCCCCGGCCCTTACCCCTGTTTTGCTCTTGTCAGCTTGCAGGCGTAGTCACAGTGGCAGCTTTGAGAGTTGGACTCCCAAGCCACTGAAGTGATCTTTAGGCCTCAGGTACGTGTTTTGGGGGTGAGGAGGGGAAGGGCAGACCCAGGACTAGAAAAGGAGCTTTGAAATTACCATCCGTGCACCTATCCTAGCCCCTTTTGGGGACCTCTAACCCCCTGCCTGCTAAGTCCTAGCTCTGATGGTTCCTTGGCTTGTGGGGATTACAATGGAGGGGGTGGGGTGGGGTGAGGAGAGAGTCTGTTCCTATCCCAAAAAGTATACTTCCCTGCTTACCCCTCTGCCTTCCACAGCCCCAAATCTGCCACCATTCCGTGCTGCAGGGACACCATGGCTCCGGAGGAAGACACTGGAGGGGAGGCCCTAGGGGGCAGTTTCTGGGAGGTGAGTAGCTGAGTCTTGGGGGTGGGGGTGTCACTAAAATGCCCACCACTCTCAGAGCTGAGCCACCTCTCCAGGGGAGGAGCCCAGCTGTCAGTCCAAGCCTGCAAGGGGGCTTCTCCCCGGTAATGCCACCATTCTCATGTCCGCCCCAGGCTGGCAACTACAGGCGGACAGTGCAGCGAATAGAGGATGGGCATCGGCTGTGTGGGGACCTGGTCAGCTGCTTCCAGGAGCGCGCCCGCATTGAGAAGGCCTATGCCCAGCAGCTGGCTGACTGGGCCCGCAAATGGAGGGGTGCCGTGGAGAAGGGTGAGCTCACACTGGGCCTGGCAGGGAGCAGAGGGCTGCCGAGGGTGGGGACACCAGGGCAGCTTCTCTCTGCACCTTCTGTGGAAAGTTTGAGGCTTCCACATCCGCCTTCCCTTTAAAGAGGGAAAATCCTTCTGGTTATCCTCACAGTTGTTTCTATTACAGTTTGCCAAGTACTTTCATGAGTTATTTTGGTATTTCTAACAATGCTGTGGAGTCCCTGGGTAGTACAAATGGCTAACGGGCTCAGCTGCTAACGAAAAGTTTGGAGTTCAAGTCCACCCAGAGGCACCTTGGAAGAAAGGCCTGGTGATTTACTTCCAAATCATCAGCCATTGAAAACCTTATGCAGCACAGTTCTCTGACTCACAGTGGGTCGCCATGAGTCAGAATTGACTCAAGGGCAACTGTTTTTTGTTTTTTTTTTTAAAGCAATGCTATGGTGCAGTGGTTAAATCACTCGGCTACTAACCAAAAGGTCAGCGGTTTGAACCTACCAGCCGCTTGGCAGGAGAAAGACATGGTAGTTTGTTTCTATAAAGATTATGGCCTTGGAAACCCTATGGGGCAGTTCTACTCTGTCCTCTATGGTCGCTATGAGTCAGAATCAATTCCGTGGCAGTGAGTATGATGGAAATGGTCCTGTTCAACCCATTTTATAGAGGAAGCACCTGAAGGTCCAGGAGGTTGAGTGACTTGCTGAGGTCACACAGCAAGGCAGAGCTTCTGGCAAGGGACCTGGGATCTTCGTACTCTAACGAGCTGCCTTCCTGGAGGGTGGGCACTGGTTGTTCCCTCAGTGGCAATAGAGTGTAGTGGTTTATGCAGCAGACTTGGGTTTGAATCCCAGCTCCACTTGTAGCCATAGGGCATTGGGCAAGTGGTGAATTTCACTTCTCTGGGCCTCAGTTTTTTGTCTATTAAATGTTGATAATGACACTGAGCTCCTGTTGGTGGTTGTAGCAAGCATTCTGTGAGAGCTCGTATGTCAAGGCACAGAATGAGCATTCAGTAAGCAGCAGCTCATATCATCATTAATCTCTGCACCCCCTGGGTGTCTCCATGCCTGGCACCCAGAGCAGCACCTGATGAGAGGGGTGGGCTCCTTTAGGGTGATGCCTCTGGCCTGGCCCAAGCTCCATCCCTCTCTGCAGGCCCCCAGTATGGCACACTGGAGAAGGCCTGGCATGCTTTTTTCACGGCGGCCGAACGGCTGAGTGTGCTGCACCTGGAGGTACGGGAGAAGCTGCAGGGGCAGGACAGTGATCGGGTGCGTGCCTGGCAGCGGGGTGCCTTCCACCGTCCTGTACTGGGTGGCTTCCGTGAGAGCCGGGCTGCCGAGGACAGCTTCCGCAAGGCCCAGAAGCCCTGGCTTAAGCGGCTGAAGGAGGTGAGCCTAGGTGGGGTAGGCACCTGAGGAGGCCCTTCCCAGTCTGCATGGGGCTAAAAGGGGCTGGAGTATGGCCTCCAGGGCCCAGAGCTGTCCCCATGCCTGTCAGGTTGAGGCTTCTAAGAAGAACTACCATGCAGCCCGGAAGGACGAGAAGACAGCCCAGACTCGGGAGAGCCATTCCAAGGCAGACAGTGCTGTCTCCCAGGAGCAGCTGCGCAAACTGCAGGAGCGAGTGGAACGCTGCACCAAGGACGCCGAGAAGGTACAGGCAGCCAGAAGCGTGGCCTGGCCCGGGTTAAGGCTTCCGGAATGTCTTTTCCAATTCTTAGCAATCTTTTTTTTTTTTAATTGTTATTGTTGGGTGCCATGGAGTCAATTCTGACTCATAGTGACCCCATGTGACAGAGTAGAACTGCCCCATAGGGTTTTCTAGGCTGTAATCTTTATGGAGGCAGATTGCCAGGTCTTTCTCCTGCCAAGCCGGTGCATGGGTTTGAACCACTGATCTTTCGGTTGGTTAGCAGTGGAGTGCTTAAGCATTGCACAACCAGGGCTCTGTATTTATTTGTTTAAAAATTTTATTTTGTCGTGGTTTTTGAGAATATACACAGAACATACACCAATTCCACAGTTTCTGCATGTACAATTCAGTGACATTGATTACATTCTTTGTGTTGTGCAACCATTCTCACCTTCTTTTTCTGAGTTGCTCCTCTGTCATTAACATAAACTCACTGCTCTTAAGGTTCCTGTCTGATCTTTCCAGTTGCTATTGTCAATTTGATCCCATACAGATAATCCTTAAAAGAGCATAATGCTCAAGGCAGATGTATTCTATCTTTTTTTTAAATGGTGATAAATATATATGTAACAAAACATTTGCCAGTTCAACATTTTTTACATGTACATTAATCACGATCATTTTGTTAACTGTTACCACTATCTGCTTCCAAACTTTTCCATCACTCTTAACAGAAGCTCAGTGTCCCCTAAACAATGACTCTGCCATTTCCCCCTCCCTCCTGCCTGCCCCGATACCCACTAATAACCTTAGGTCTCTGTACACTTGTTTATTCTAGATATTTCCTATAAGTTCAATCCCCAGCATTCTTATTGCTTTAGACCACACCTGCCACCCTCTCTCCAGATTATCCTTTAAACGAAGAACCTGAGAAAAGGTGATGCTTCACCCAGGGAGAGAAGTGGTGGAATTTCAGGCACTGGGATGATTTTAGCAATTGAGGATCCCCTTCTAGATTTGCTCCTTTCACAGTGTACCACCTGGTATGAGTCCTCACGTTGCCTACTCTGCCCAGAGTACCCTTTCTTCCAACTCTGTATATCCAGATCCACCCCCTCCTCTGAGGTGCTGCTCAGTTTCCACCTCCTCCAGGAAGCCTTCTTGATTTCTCCCACCCCTCCCCATAGGGTGACCTGGTCTTACACTCACCAGATTCTTACAGCTCCTCTGGCTGAATGTTACCTCCCTTGTTAGGCTGCTAGGGTTTTTGAGTGCAGGAGCTAGGTCTCAGGGCTAATTGCCCCTGGTGCAGAGCCCAGTAAATACTGGTGGAGTCTTGGGTGGAAGAAGGTCTCATCCTCACCAAGCTCCTCCCCTCTCACCCAGATGAAAACCCAGTATGAGCAGACGCTGGCCGAGCTGCATCGCTATACCCCACGCTACATGGAGGACATGGAGCAGGCCTTCGAGGCCTGCCAGGCCGCTGAGCGCCAGCGGCTGCTCTTCTTCAAGGACATTCTGCTCACCCTCCACCAGCACCTGGACCTCTCCAGCAACAAGAGGTGTGGCCTGCGGGGTGGGTGTGGAGATGGGGGTAGTTCTGGGTCTCCCTCATCTCCCCTGGGTTCTGGCTGGGCTCAGGGGGATTGGGGGTGGGCCCAGGGCTTCGCAGACTGAGGGCTGTGAGTTGGGCCACAGGTTTCAAGAGCTCCACTGTGACCTTCACCAGAGCATTGAGGCAGCCAGCGACGAAGAGGACCTGCGTTGGTGGCGCAGCACCCATGGGCCTGGCATGGCCATGAACTGGCCACAGTTTGAGGCATGTGTTCTAGGCTGGTGGGGCAGGGGAGTAGGGGTGGTGGGTTCCCACTGGGCTCAGCCTGGGTCTCAGGAAGGAGGCCAGGGCTTGGGCTGAAGTGGGTTTCTCCTGGGCTCTGGTGAGGGCCGGTCTGGATGAGACTGGCTGCTGCTACAGCCTGTAGCCCAGCCTGACCTTAAGCACTGTCCCGGCAGGAGTGGTCCTTGGACACACAGAGGACAATTAGCCGGAAGGAGAAGGGTGGCCGGAGCCCTGATGAGGTTACTCTGACCAGCATTGTGCCCACAAGAGATGGTGCTGCGCCCCCACCCCAGCCCCTGGGGTCCCCAGGGTGAGAGCCAGGAGCCTGGCTGTGGAAAGAAACAGCTCTGCCCCTGCCCTGCCTTCCTTTCCTCTGTCTCCTTCACTTCATTCCCTTCATGCCTGAAGGGGGTTAAAAATTGGTGCCAGGGACCTTAGGGCCTACTTGTTGCTATTGAGTTGATTCCGACTCATAGCAACCCCGTGTGACAGAGTAGAACTGCCCCATAGGGTTTTCTAGACTGTGATCTTTATGGGAGCAGATTGCTAGGTCTTTCTCCTGCTGAGCCGCTGGGTGGGTTTGAACTGCCAGCCTTTCAGTTAGCAGCCAAACACTTTAACTGTTGTGCCACCAGGGCTCCTAGGGCCTAGTTAGTCGTTATAATAATACTAGTTTTCATAGTGGTTTCGATTTGCCAGGCATTTCCCACATTCCCTCACTGCCTCCTCACATTAGCTGTGTTGTTGGTAGGTGCCATTGGGTCAATTCTGACTCATAGCAACCCTATGTACAGTAGAACAAGACACTGTCAGATCCTGCACCATCCTCATTGAGCCCATGGTTGCAGCCACTGTGTCAGTCTATCTTTTTGAGGGTCTTCTTTTTCACTGACCCTTTACTTTTCCAAGCATGATGTCCTTCTCCATGATGTGGCAGGCATTTCCCAGGAGGCAGTGAGAGGGAACATGGTAAATGCCTGACACATCAGCTGTACGTGGCAGGAATTGTCCCTGAGCTCAGTCGTGCGTGGCACAGGTGGGACCAGAATCTTGCAGCTCCTCCCCATCCTGTCTTTCCCAAGGTTCCTCAAGGGGAGGTAAGCCCTCTGCCCCTGAGTCCTGGGCTCTCCAGGCCCCTGGTCTTCCTGCCTCCTGAACCTGACCCCCTTCTGCCTCCCTCTACAACAGTGGGCAGGATGAGGACTGGTCAGACGAGGAGAGTCCCCAGAAGACCGCCACTGGGATACGAGTGCGGGCACTCTACGATTACGCTGGTCAGGAAGCTGATGAGCTGAGCTTCCGAGCAGGTACCCCGGGACCCCTTTCCTGTTCCTTTCCAGGCATAAGTTCCCCTTACAAGCCTGACTCTTACTCTCAAGGCTGTTCTGGGTCCCTTGTCCTCTCTGAGTCCTCACCTTCCTCTCCAAGTAACTGCTGGGGCCCAATGGCTGCCTTTAGGGTCTGGGTGGGGCGGCTTGCTGACTTCCACCCACCCTGGCTGAGCCACATCTCTTTTCCTAGCTGGGCTCTCATACTGCCCCCTCCTGCTCGGTCCTTGACCCAGTTGCAGGAACGGGGGTTGGGCCAGGGCAATTGGCAGTGACCAATCCTCTTTCCCCCAGGGGAGGAGCTGCTGAAGATGAGTGAGGAGGATGAACAGGGCTGGTGCCAAGGCCAGCTGCAGAGTGGCCGCATTGGCCTGTACCCTGCCAACTACGTGGAGTGTGTGGGGGCTTGACTTGCCCTCACAGCCTCCTGCAACGTTTCTCCACCCTGGGTCAGAGCCCAGCTTCTCCCGGACAGCCCTCCTGAGGGCCCTGAACCCATGGCGCCCCTGCCGCCCCTCTGTCCCCTGAGGGGGAAGAAAACTCGGGACTCAGGGAGGGAAGGGGCCAGTGTCTGGGAAGAGACTGGTAGGGAATGGCCAACTGAGTCTAGACTGAGGGCAAGATGGGGAGCTCAGGAGGTGACAGAGGGCTCAGAGGTGCCTGGGCCTCCCCAGGAGCTGTGGGGACCCAGTTCCTGGCCTTTGTGTTTTGGGGTTCCTGGGGTGGGCTTGGGGTGAGTAGTTCTGGGCTAGCAGCATCCTCTGTTGTGACTTGTTCTAGTGTGTATTAAACTTGGAAGAAAAAAAAAAAAGCAGTCAGGCTGGTGTGCATCTTTTTTGATACTCCCTCCACTCTTGCCAGGCCTCCAGTATGTTATGGGGTAGGGGTAGGCTAAGCGTGTGCCAGCTAGGACCCTCATCTGGGGTGGGAGTGGAGATATGCTACGGCTCGAAGCTGGGCCTTGGGACCTGAGTTCTGCGCTGGGCAGGAGTCGGGACAGTGTGTCTTCCCGTTCAGGCCGGTCGGACCACGAGTGCTTGGTAGAACGTTAATTATTACTCATCAACCGCTAAGTGTCCAAAGCTCAAGCCTCCGCCCCAGCCTCCTGTAGCCCCGCCTTGTGAGAGGTGGCTCCACCTTCTGGGCGAGATTTAACGTCAGATGAGCGCTCCCGAGGAAGTTTGGGCCAGCCCGCGAGCCATCGCTCCGCCCTGGCCGCGGATTGGCCCCGGCTCGGCGCGGCGTTTATTCTGGTGACCATTGTGGAGCTCGGGGTTGCTGACGTCTGTCCTCCTCTTCCCTCGGCTGCTCATTGGTCCATATCGGGCCTAAATCATACCATCCTTTGGTTGCAAAGGGCAGGGCTGGGACCGACCCGGTTACCCAGCCTTCCCCGGCGAAGATTGGCCCGCGACTGGACCCGTCGGTCGCAGTTGTGTCTGGGAAGGAGAGAAAATGGCGGCGGAGCCGAGCAAGACCGAAATCCAGACTCTTTTTAAGAGGCTTCGCGCGTTTCCAACCAACAAGGTGCCTGAGCAGGAGGCGTGCGGGACCTGCTGCCGGCAGAGAGGGCTCTTCCGGCTCCTCTGGGGCCTGAGGGAGGGAAAGAGGCTCGGGTGGGCTGTTTTCCTGGCATGTCAGCGCCTGGCCTCGACTCGGGCCCCTGACCATTTGCACATCGCCTCCTCCACCCAGGCCTGCTTCGATTGCGGCGCCAAGAATCCGAGTTGGGCCAGCATCACGTACGGTGTTTTCTTGTGTATCGACTGCTCCGGGGTTCACCGCTCACTGGGCGTCCATGTCAGCTTCATCAGGTGGGGTGTCCGCGCGGCTGCAGTGCTTCCTTTTTCCACTGGGCCGGCCGAGGCTGTGTCCAGCAAGGGAGAGTGGCTGCCGCGATTAGGACCGCTCTCAGTTCGGCGTTCGGCATCCTCCGGGCCGAGAGCCCGGTGGCCCCCCCACGGGAGGGAACCGCCTCTGTGGGTCCTTTGCGCCTTGGTCGAAACTCCATTGTTTTCCTAGAGGTCAAGCTTGAGAATCTGAGCGTTAGCTTACGGGGAAGAGTTAGCTGCTTTGACCTTGTTACTGATATACTGGCCGAGAAGTGAGACTTTGGCCGTACTTAAGGGAAAAGCCAAATCCAAGCTTGAGTGCCTGAGAATTCGACCTTCTTTCGGATTTGGGGAAATAATACCCTTTTGAATAAATGAATGGAGAGCAAAGCTTTTGCGGACTGGAAGAGTGGAAGAAATGGGGGGGGGGGGTGGCTGATTGTTTCCTGGGCGTTCACAGCAGCCCAGGGCCAAATGACAGGTGTGGGTCTGCTGGGGAAGCTTTTCTCTTGGTGTCTGCTGGTGGGTGACATGCAGCCCTTGCACGTAGGTCCACAGAATTGGATTCCAACTGGACCTGGTTCCAGCTGAGGTGTATGCAGGTCGGCGGGAATGCCAGTGCGGTAAAACTCCTTCTACAAACCCCCTCCCCTTTTTTCTGCCTGGGTACTAACTGTACCATGACTTCCTAGGAGGTTCTCTCCGTTTCACTGTTCATAGGGTTTCCTGGTCCATAACAACATTGAACATTATTCTCTAAACTTGGAAATTGGTCACAGTTATTTTCAGAGGGGCTTCAGATTCAAACCAAAGTGGACAGATGTTCTTAGGGAAAGGCCAAGGGAGTTGGGGCCAGGGCCTCCTGGATGAAGGATGGGCAGAGTGGGTATGGCATGCTGTCCTCAGGCATGAGGGCTGGGCTTCATTCAGTCATATCAGAGGATGGGAAGCTGTGCTTTTCTGCAGGAATTTCTGAGAAACTTAATCTCTATGTAAACGACTTCTGTCATTTCTATATAAATAATAACTGGACTGTTATAAGGAGGTGCCTTCTACAGCCAGTACGTTTTTGTTCTGGTGAGAACCACCTGTAGCATGCTCTTCTCTGCTCTTCAGATGGCTTTCTTCCGCCAACATGGATGCACAGCCAACGATGCCAACACCAAGTATAACAGCCGAGCCGCTCAAATGTACCGGGAGAAGATCCGGCAGATGGGGAGTGCAGCCCTGGCTAGGCATGGCACTGATGTAAGTGCTTGTTTCCGGGGGTGGGGTGGTGGGGTGAGAGTAGGAGAATTCAGAGCCTTGTGTCCCAGGGGTGCCTTTTCTCTTCTAGCTTTGGATAGACAATATGAGCAGTGCTCCAAGTCACTCCCCGGACAAGAAGGACTCCGATTTCTTCACAGAACACACCCAAGTGAGTGCCTGCAAGGAATGTTTCCCATGATTGTTCCTGACAAGTGGCTTACTTAACAAGATGAAGGCCTTTTTCAGTCACAGACATGCAGTCCATTCACTTTGGTGCAATACCATGGATGGGGATGTCTGGACTCACTGAGTTGGTGACTGCTGCCTGCTGCGTGGGCCAGGTGTTTCTATCTCCCATGAAGCAGTATAACATATCCCTCCTTAGGAAGGGACCCCTATAAAGTGGAGTTGGGAGGAAGAGAAGCTTCTTGAAGGCCCAAGTGATATCAAGGTCCCCAAACAACTTTGCCTGGATTCTTCCCCTATAAAAAAGGCACTGGGGTTGGGGAAATTAAAAGATTCCCTCCCTGTGAGGAGGGTTTCCCGTTGCCTGGCACTGGCTGCTGAAGTCTCATTTTGAATCCTTGGTCCTTTACTTAGCATTTCTGTGATGTTGGCCAAGTCACTTAACCTCTCTGAAACAGTCACTTAACCTTCATTGAGTTTGTTGTGATAATGAAATGTAGAATAATGATATGTGGAAAGCCCTCAGACTTGGGCCTGGCACGTGGTAACTATCCAGTAATTGTTAGTGGTTATTAGAGGAATGGGCTGTGGTTCTAAGTATATAGTGGAGGGGTGGAGAGGGCTGCTAGTTTCCTGCTTCTTTCTTCCGTGGTAAATAGCAACCATGGTTTTATCTGCTAACCTACGGTCTCTTTTCCTCATGGGCTTGGAGCAAGGTCTTGTACCCATAGGTACTTGTAGATTCTTGGTGCTCCTTGCCAGCAGGAGTGGCTCATTGAGGCTTCTGTGATCTGGCCTCCTTTTCAGCCGCCTGTCTGGGATGCACAAGCCACCGAGCCTTCAGAGACCCAGCAGCCAGCCCCGCCTGCAAAGAGCAGTGGCCTGGCACGTGAGTTCAGCCCAGATTCCAACCTAGTGTCCTGGTCCTGGGAAGGGAAGGGGATACTTGGCTGGGAGAATAGGAGTAGGGTCTTCTAGCTGTCTGGGTGGGTTGAGATTCATTGCAGTCCACTGGAGGAAGTGGTGGGTATTCCTTTTATCTTTTGGTAGCCTCAGCAATCTGAGTAAAGCCAGTGCCTCTACTGCTGTCCCGTCGCTTCGCTTAGGGGGAGGTCACAGGAAACGTTGAGCCTTATACCTAACTTCCACCATTGCACCCACAGAGCTGGAGCACGGCCCCAACACAGACCTGTTGGCCACCTCACCCAAAGCCTCTCTGGGTCAGTATGCCAGCTGGTGGGTGTGGGATAGGCTGGGAGAGGGTGGGCCTTGAGTGTTTAGGTCTGCTGCTGCCTGGTCATGTGGACTGAGGCCACAAGAGACTGAGCATCTAACCTCTCTGGGGTGGGGACTGACTGAAATGGTGGCTGCAGCATTGACCACAAGTACCTTAGAGCCAGGCCGTTTGGATTGATGAACCAGGGTGTGCTGGTGTGGAAGACCTGGGCTCTACCTGTGGGTTAGTGCTGGGTCTGGCCAAAGTGTGGGGCAGCCAGCATGGACTGGGCTCCTAGCCCTGGGGTCTGAGGCCAGGCTGGTCTGTTGGTCCATTGCTAACCTTCTGTGAGGTGGCGTACAGCTCTGAGCTGCTAAAGGCCAGAGGTGACCTTGGCCCTTCTCAGCCAGTCCTTGGCCTGGCTTAGTGTCCTTCAGACTTGGTTCAGGGTGAGCAATCTACTTGCTGACCTCAGTTTGTTCAGTTGACCTTTGGGGGTTGGGGAGGAAGCCAGCAGAAGAACGACTCTCAAATTGTTCCCACAAGAAGGCTGGCATGACTTGGTCTGAAGTTGGGTCCTGTAGAGGCCTATGGGATAACTTTGGCTTCTGGGCTTGGGAGGTTCTGGGGCAGGGCCCTTGTTAGCCACAAGTCTGTCTCCCCTCCAGAGTCCATGTTTCTGTCAGCTCAAGGGAACCTTCCTGCCCAAGGTAACCAGCAGGTGCTTGGGGAGCCTGGCTCCTTGCTTTCCAGCTCCCTGCTCTAGTCGTTGAGGCTCGTGTTTGGCATCTGCCCCCTGCCTAGCAGTCTTCATGGTGGCTCAGGGACTTTGACCGGCTCTGGTGATTCAGGTCTAGGCTCCTGTCTCAATCTGCTGGGAGTCAGCAACCTCCCCTGATCTCTCTTTGGCTCGGACTGTCCTGGATGGAGCTGGTGGCAGCTTTGCTTTCCCCTGCCTGAATCTGTTCTTTCTAGAAGCTCTTGCCGTGAAACTGCATGGTGTGGACTGAGTTCTTGGCTGCTGTCTGCTTTTGGCCTAGCTCATGCCTGTCCTCTTTCTCACACAGAACTGAAAACCTCCATCATTGGCAAGAAGAAGCCAGCAGCAGCTAAGAAAGGGGTAGGTGGGGAGAGGCAGTATGGTAGTGTTGTTAGGAGCTGGGGTTAGACTGCTTGGGTTCACCCGCTTGACTCTTAACCACTTACTGGTCATATGATTTTGGCAAAGGTACTTAATGTCTCTGAATCTTATCTGTGAAAGGGATGTGAAAGTCCTTATCTTCAAGGGGCTCCTGGGAGGAGGCAGTGA